GTTGGACACGCTGATCAGGAACTCAAGCCTCCCTTTTGGATCAGGGCTGTGTACTGAATTGCCCTTTCTGGATCCAGAGGACCTCCCTGAGTAGAATTTGGATGTGAATAGTCCTACTCAAACTTGCTTCCGCTTTCTCACTTGCTTAGAATCTTTCTCTGCTTAGAATCTCGCTTTTTTCCTTGAATTATTTCGTTTAGCATGTCTAGGAATGCTTTATCCTCTCCATCAGGATGAAGGCTGGGCTGCAGCTGTGACGTGCACCCTTGCTGACCTCGTTGTAACCAAGGGACCCCAGGGCCTTTGACTCACTTTCCACAACCCTTTGATCTGATGTGTAGCTACTGTCTTTAGTGACTCCGTCTAGAAATTCTGCATTTTTCTCTCTTTTGTTCCTCACCTCTAGCTTTCACTTTCTGTTTTGTTTTAGTGCTCTCCAACAGAATTTGTCTTTATTTTCTTTTCGATTTAGCTTTTCCAGATAATGGAAAGGTGAGCTTCTGTGATATGAGACGTATATATAAACTGCCTATATTCCAACTGGTTTCCCTTTAGACAAAATTTTTTCATTAAAATTATTAAAAATGTTTGTTATGTGGAAAAAATTAGAATTTCAGGGAAAATAAATCAACTGCAACTTCAGCTGGTTCACTGAAATGTTGAAATAGAAAGGCAATAATTATTTGAAGATATAGAGTCAGCTCATAAACTTTTACATAATTTGCGTATGTTCTTCAGAAGGATAAATATTACCATTCAGCATTTCTTACTTTAAATCTTTTCATTATTATCCGTTCATAAGAATATTCCTTAATACTTTTCATGGGCATTCTGACACCAGTCTCCAGCCAGCCCTTCATGGATTCAGCATTGGAAGAAATAAACTGCATCATAGATTTTAAAACAATCTTGTTGCATTAGAAAGTAGTAATGGAAAAACAGCTGTGCCGTTCATTCTGAAAGGCCTTTTTTAATTGAAGTACCGTCAGTTACAATGTGTCAATTTCTGGTGTACAGCACAGTGTCCCAGTCATATATATACATACATACATATATTCATTTTCATATTCTTTTTCATTAAAGGTTATTACAAGATATTGAATACAGTTCCCTGTGCTATACAGAAGAAACTTGGGGTTTAAAATCTAATTTTATATGTAGTGGCTGATATTTACAAATCTCAAACTCCCAAATTTATTCCTTTCCACCCCCTTTCCCTCAGTAACCGTAAGATTGTTTACTATGTCTGCAAGTCTGTTTCTGTTTTGTAGGTGAGTTCATAGTGTCCTCTGTTTTTCTTTCTTGGTTTTTTTTTTAGATTCCACATGTGAGTGTTATCATACGGTATTTTTCTTCCTCTTTCTGTCTCCTCTTAGAATGACGATCTCTAGTTCCATCCATGTTGCTGCAAATGGCATTAGTCTATTCTTGCTTATGGCTGATTAGTGAAATGCCTTTTTTAAATGCAGAATAACTGTAGACATTTCCCTAAACTAGGAACTCACATTAGGGAGTGAGTCCTTTCTTCACCTGACATCATTTCTGATAGGTATTAATGGAGATGAATTTCTAAATGGTAGAATATTCAAAGGTAAGAGAAACAGTCATTATTTCAGAACTCTTAATCTGTGACTCATACTGGGTATGACTACAATTGCAGTTCTGTTTCCTGTAAGATTTCTGTTGATATTAAATCATTTCAATAAAATGAAAAGAATTATTTAATTGCAACTTTATCTGAATGTTGATACCTTGCTTAACTGTGCCTCTGAAAGTCTTGACAGTGCTATTTTTATATATCACATCTTTTCTTCATAAAAGGGTTTTTTTTTGTTGTTTGTAACTTAATCATTTCATGTAATTTCTACCCAAATTATTACTAATTTTCAGTTAGGAAAGTCTGCTAGGACTTAATACTTAACCAAAAAGCATCTATTACAGGATGTGGAATTGAGAAGAAAATAGATACATACTTCTGCACATCTTTCTTTGTTTTCTTTAACACGTTAGATTTTCTATCATGTTAGTAATTAAAGAATGGAAATTTTTCTATGTTGTTAATGCAAGCTGTTGAGGACGGAAATTGGGATGTAGAGGAGGAAAGATTTGCACAGAATTATTTTCTAGCTTCTCTGTTCTGTATCGCTCATTCATGTCAACCAAGGCTTTGATGTGAATTTGGTTACCTTTAGGGACTGACTGTCTGATGCTCCTTATCAGTGAGCCTAGGCAGCTCACTGGCATCCCAAACGGGGAAAGCGCGTCCTTCCCCCACTGCTTCCTAGGCGATGCTCTCCCTTGGGTGCCTGTTGTGGACAAACACACCAAAGCCTCATGTGAATCCCATGAAACAGACCCTGGCTTCCCTGACTGATTGTTCTTCATTCACGTTGCTGGTAAGGGAACTGTACGGGTAGCATTTCAATGATGGAATGTGATTTAGTAAAACAGAACGCAAGTCCATCTCTACCAGAGTTTAAGCAACCCCAGGAGTGATGGATGAGTGGATACGCAAAGTGTGGTCCATTCATACAATGGAATATTATTCATCCTTAAAAGGAAAGAAATTCTGTAATACACTAAACATGTGTGAGCCTTGAGGATACTATGTTCAGTGACATAAACGAATCACAAAAGACAAATATGGTGTGATTCTACCTACATGAGGTATTTAGTCAAAAACCTTAAAGTCGAAGTGGAGTGGTGATAGGGGCTGGGGGGAGGGAGTATGAGGAGAATTTTTAATATTTTTAATAAATTTTATAAATTTTTAATTTTAATTTTAATAAATTTAATAAAATTTTCAGTTTTACAAGATGAAAAGACTTAATGGGTTTGGGTTGTGATGGTTGCACAACAATGTGAATGTATTTAATACCACTTAAAAATGTTTAGGATGATAAATTCTATGTTATGTGTATCTTACTACAATTAAAAAATGGTTTTTAGAAATAAAAGGCACAATAAAACTGTATA